TAATTTTTAAATCGATGTGTAGTAATTGTACATATTTATGGGGCACATAGTGACTTTGTGCATTCCACGTCTAGTGATCAAATCAGGGTAATTAGCATCCATCACCTTGAGCATTTATCCTCAAAGAAATGATCAATGTTCCAACGCATGAGGTTTCTCTCCCTGAATCCATTTCCTCTGGAGACTGCCTGGCTGCCTCCATTGCTGTTTGCTTTGAGCCTGTGAACAGAGTACTTAGAAACGACCCTGCCTCCAGCCTTCCATCTGCTGAGCAGTTCCCATCAGATAAGGCCCAGTGATAACAGGCCTGTCTGTTCTGCCCACTGCCATCTTCCTCCTCCTCTGCCTGCCCGGCTCCTTCCCCAAGTCGTGCAGGCCACAGACTTTAGGCTTTGACATGGAGAAGAAGCCTGCGGGAGGTGCTTCTGGTCTTAGAAGCCAGAGGGATGTGTGTAAACAGAGTTTACCCCCTTTCCAAACACAGGAGATGAGATCTCCCAGACCCTAAGGAAACCACAGTTTGACTGATGTCAGCACATGGGGCAGGCCACCCTGCCACCCTGCCACCCTCGGCGGGGCGCCAGTGGCTACTGAGGTAGCAGGCCGGGGCTCTGAGTGAGGAAGCCACACCACATCTGAGTTGTCACTCCCGCTCTCCGCTTACTTGGTCAGCACCTGTTCCGTCTCATCTCTCCCGGACTCACCGAGCAACCCCCAGGTGTGTGGAGACTGCTGGCCACCGACCTACCTCCAGCTCCGTTGGCTCTTGCCTCCTCAGTCCGAGGCTGAGATTGTGCCTCTGTAAAAAAAAAAAAACCTTTCACTCTTTCTGTTCCCACCCTCTGTTGGCTGCTTGGTAAATCCCAACTCCCAGTGTCTGCCTGGTCTATGTCCACACTGGGACGACTCAATACTGCTTAAAAAAAACACACAAAAAACACTCCACCAGGCTTGCCGGACACACCCCACACTTACGACCACAGCCTCAAACGGGCAGCCAAGCCGCCAGACCAAATGGTCCGTCCTTTTCCTAACTAATTCACCTGTGCTCAGGGAGTCATTTCAAAAATGTCTTTCTCTGGCAACCGCCTACATCGACTCCCCTGTTTCACAGACAAACAGGAGGGACCCCGTGGGCTCCCTTCCTCTGTGCCGCCGATGCTGTTACTGAAAAGGGGTCCCAGTCCAGAACCCAGGGCAGGGTTCTTGGATTTCGCACAAGAAAGAATTTGGGGTGAGTCCCCAGAGTAAACTGAAAAGACATTTATTAAGGAAGTGAAAAAGAAGAATGGCTGCTCCGCGGGCATGCGGTGCCCGGCTGGGCATATTCATGGTTATTTCTTGATCATATGCTAAACAAGGGGTGGATTATTCATGGGTTTTCTGGGAAAAGGGGTGGGAAAATCCTGGAATGGAATGGAGGGTTCCTGCCCTTTTTGGACCACGTAGGGTAACTTCTGGCTGTTGCCGTGGCATTTGTAAACTATCACGGGGCTGGTGGGAGTGTCTTCTAGCAGCGGATGCATTATAATTAGCATATAATGAGCAGTGAGGACAAACAGAGGCCACTTTCACTTTTATCTTGGTTTTGGTGGGTTCAGGTGGCTTCTTCACCACATCCTATTTTACCAGTGGGGGCTTTGTGACCCGTATCTTGTGCTGGCCTCCAATGTCATCCTGTGACTAAAAATGCCTAATTCCTGGGGACGCAGCCCAGCAGGTCTCAGCCTCAGTTCCCCAGCCCCTGTTTGAGCAGGAGTCTCCCTGGTTCCAACACCTCTGACAGTGTCACTAACGGGCACCCCCACTCAGCTGCACCCTGCCTTCACGCCTCAAGGAGGAAGCACTCGGACCTGCTGTCCCAGCCTGGTCTCTACTCGAGTTCTGCTAGGAGGTCTCCCCTTCTCCAGAGCTGCACTGCTGTGGCTCCCTCTTCCCTGAGCACATGGTCAGCGTCTCCCTTTCTGTAGGCACTGGCCTCTCTCAGATGCCAGCACCTTCGTTATGTAACACATTGTTACAAGAAAACCGCAAACCGCTCTCTGGTCCGTGTCTGTCCTTGTCCAGCTCCTAGTTCTCTACTCCCTTTACGGCACATCGATGCAGCATGGTGACCCTTCCCGCCTGCCTCCCCATCCTCACTTCCCGCCACCTCATCACCCCCGGCTTTCCCACTGCACTGAGATGGCCATCTCTGCCATCTGTGATGCCATCACTGGGGGAGCTCCCTCTTGCTGAAGTCAGCGGCCACCTCTCTGCCCTCTTGTTCCCTGGTTTCTTTCTTTTTTATTTTTTTGAGACGGAGTTTCACTCTTGTTACCCAGGCTGGAGTGCAATGGCGCAATCTCGGCTCAATGCAACCTCCACCTCCTGGGTTCAGGCAATTCTCCCGCCTCAGCCTCCTGAATAGCTGGGATTACAGGCACGCGCCACCATGCCCAGCTAATTTTTTGTATTTTTAGTAGAGATGGGGTTTCACCTTGTTGACCAGGATGGTCTGGATCTCTTGACCTTGTGATCCACCCGCCTCGGCATCCCCAAGTACTGGGATTACAGGCATGAGCCACCGCGCCCGGCCTGTTCCCTGGTTTCTCAGCGGCATTGGTCTAGATGACTCTCTCCTTGAAACATTGTCTTCTTGAAGGCTCTTGGATGCCCTGTCCACCTGCTTTTCCTTCTACCTTACTAGCTGGACTTTGGGTTTTGGTTTTTCTGTTTGTTCTGTCGCCCAGGCTGGAGTGCGGTGGAACGATCTCAGCTCACTGCAGCCTTGACCTCCCAGGCTCAGGTGATTCACCCACCTTGACCTCCTGAGTTGCTTGGTCTTCAGCTAACTCTTTTTTTCTAAGTATTCTCTGAGCACACCTCTTTCTCTGTCAGATCTTTAAATGTCAGGACACCCAGGCTGCGTGTGCACACTTCCACGTGGACTTGAAAGCAAGCTAACTCACAGAGGAGAGAGCAGAATGGGGGGACTTGAGGCTCTGGGAGCAGGGTGGGGGGATGTGCAGGGTTCCAGCTAGGAGGAATAAATAATGAGCATTTGAGGTGATGGATGCGTTAGCTCGAGTCAGTCATTCCACATTGTACATATAGAAACACTTGGTACACCGTAAATCTATACAATTAGAATTTGTCAATATCCAGTGAAAGTAATTAAACGAATAAACACACACTGGAGTCCAGAGGATGCTGCGTGCAGCCCTCTTCTCTTCTACGGTCTTTTTCTGAGTTTACCAGGTGTAGTACTTTCAATATTATCCAAACATCTGAATCTAGACTCCCAAATCTATTAACACTGGCCTTTCCCCTGACCTCCAGGCCCTGTGTCCAGCTCACTCCCCACCTGTATTGAATCGACATTTAAATATACCGTGAACCAGCACCCCCGCTCCTGCCCCTCCACACCCATTCATTCCGAGTGAATGGCACCCCTTCTTAACCCACCTGCTAACCGGAGGGCCATCCCTAGTTCCTCCGTTTCTGTCACACCCCACATCTAAATAGTCCCCAAAGTATGTCCCCAAGCAAATATCCACTGGCTTGCTTTTCACCCCCTCTGCAGCTGCTGCCCGGTCTAGATTATGCTCACGTCCACTGCCGCTGCTCCTACTTGACCTCGGGGCCCCACTTCTCCCCCTCCCCCCGACTTACTCTCTACACAGCAGTAAGTACTTTCTGCTTCGATCTTGTGAAAGTTTAAATCAGATTACGTATCATTCAAAAACCCCAGAAAACTTCCTGCGCCACCCAAATCAAACCCCAACTCGTGACTCTGCCCTACCGGGCTGGAGATCCCCCGCCAGCTTCGGCAGCCACCTGTTGCACTGGCTTCCCTCTGCAGACTGTGGGGGCTGGGACTATCTTTCTCTTCCTGGAGGACTCTTTCCTGACCTCTGCACAACTGCCCCTGTGGCTGGAATAGCTCTTCTCCAGGAAGCTTTGATTACCTGGGAAAAGTGGCCCCTTCCACATGTGGCGCTGTCTCGCATTTTATCTTCTCTGCGGCACTTACAATGACTGGATTTGTTTGGAGGTCACATCTGCTTCCCTCCGGGCTGGAAAAGTGCAGGTGTGGTCCCATTTACAGGGTGGAAAGACCCTGGCTTTTTGAGTGCTCTTTGAACCACACGGCCAAGGCGGATGACAGATTCCCAAGTACTGGCTTCCCACCACCTCACACCCCACACTCCCCCAGCAGCTTATACTGTGGGCTGTTTGTGGAAAGAGACATCACAGGCACTCCGTCTCTTGGTGTAGACAGGGGATGTCATCCCAAGGGATCAGCAGAATCGTTCAGTTGTTCCTTCCACAAAACGGGATTAGTGATTCCTGCTCTGACCCTCTGACATAGGCCTTTGCTGAGAACACAGACACAGGGTCAGTGATAAACAGTGCCTTCCCTTGCCTGCTTGTCTTACTGAAGTTTCTCAAAGTGTCTCTGGGCCACCTGTGTCCATCACCTGGGGCATTTGTAAAGCCTGGAGCAACACAGCCAGAATCACTGGTGCTTGAACCCAGTACTTCTCCTGGGAATATGCATTTGTGACAGCAGCCCAGGTGATGTTCATGCATGCTTGATTTTGTTGTTTAAGAGGTGTTTTAAGTGGCTGAAAAGATTTCGGGCATCAGAGCTCAGAGAATAATATGATCACCTTTGGAAAAGGCCACTGGAGAAGAGTGAGTTTACTTTGGCTCTGGCTTCAGACAAGCTCAGGAATGCATTTTTAAGTTCTACATGAGCTCACCCGTGGAACTCCCGAAGTCACCACCACCAAGAAGCTTCCTCAAGGGGAAGGCACAAGAAAGGAAGGAGAGTGATTGGGGTGAATCTTTTCCTGCCTCCCATGCCACCATCAGGTTGCAAAAATCTTCCTGCCCTCCATCCCTCCCTCCCTCCCCCTTTCATCCACCTGTCCATCTGTTCATCCATCCTTTCTTTCAGTTAAGTGCTTGGCCCTGTGTGTGGATAACAGCGACAAGCTATGGGGACAGGCGTTTCTCTTTGTTTGTACAGATAACGTCTTTTGAAGTATTTTTATTTCACTTTTTCTAACAGCAATATAGAAACAAATAATCATAAAAATAAAAGTATAAATTGTCCATTGATTATGTAATAGCACTTGGTATTGCTACAGGGGGTGGGTCTTGGACTCGGTCAGGCATCGTCAAGCCTGCCCAGGCCCTCCAGGCCTCTTGATGGCTACTGAGCCCCTGAAGGCATCAGACACAACCACGTGTGGCAGCATTGGTAGAGACTTCCTGTTTTACACCCGGGGATGCTTGGGGAGGGCAGAGAGATGGAAGGACAGTGAATACCACTGCAAACAGCACTGTATACACATGGTAAGCCAGGAAGGTGGGACGGAGGTTAGGCCAGTGTTGCTGCTGACACAGAGAACCACACAGAGCAGGGACTTCACAAAGCTGAATTAATGTGGTTAGTCGTGTTCACTGTGGAAAGTAAGGAAGACAGCCGATGCTGGACGATGCTTAGAAAACATTGCTGTTCCCTCTCCACCTCTTACCTGGGGTCACCACCTCATCCCATAAGAAAGTTCTCTTAGGAGGAACTGAGCAGCCTATCCCAAAACATGCGTCTTGATCTTAGTTTTCTCCCAGAGAACGAAGAAGGCAAGCAAGCACTGGGTTACCCAAGCAACTGAAGCACTCAGTTGCATCCAACTTAATTCTGAATTGGATTGACTACATTCAACGCAATCTTCCCATTTTAGTTGAACCCAGTGGTTTCAGTTCATGTGATGACTGATTTCTAAAAAGAAAGCAAAATGTAGTTTGGCATTTTTTCAGAGTATGGGATGGGCTTTCCTGCGTGGGTTCAAGAATGTTTACAGCGTGTTCTCTGTTGTGTGAGTAGGTGAGTGTGTGTAGGTCAGCCTGAGACCTCAAGGGCTCATCTGGAAGGAGGCTGGCAGGAGAGGAATGCCAATTTGGGACGTGGCAGTGTTTGTGCAGAGCTCCAAAGAAAGACATCAGTGCATGGTCCGCAGGGCTGCAGACTTCACTGCACACAGCAGGCAGACAGTAGATCTTGGCTGCGTTGTTCTACCTACTTTCAAGGAAGCATAGACCTTCTGGATCTTTGAAATTAAAATCAAAAGACCAAGCTCTTTTCCGTCTACTAAAGGTCCTTCATATGCATTGTCCTACCCAGCCCACAGAAGAAAAGCAACCTCTCCACTATGTGGGTCAGGATGTGTGGGTGGACACGGGTCCTAGTGAGATCACACAGGAAGAAGCCACAGCAGACGCACACCATGTGTAGGCCATGGGACAGTGATTAGTGATGCATGCCCTGTGGGGCCACGTCCATGCCTTGCTCTTCATTGACTCAAATGTTCTGAATTGCAATACGCGGGAAGATGGGGGTGGGGACTGAGGGAGGTGGAGAGTAGAGGGGTTGGCACTGTGTGGGTTTGGCAAGGCATCGAGACCATCTTTGGGGTTCAAGTTCATTGACCTGTGATCTACTAGGGCATAATCAACAGTGGTCTCACACATCAGTATTCTGCAGCCTCGCCGTGCCACCCGAGGGAAATCCTCCTCTCCCTCAGGTTTCACTTTGTGCCTTTACTAACGAGAGGACTGGACTAGATGACATTAAAGGTCAAAAACGCTTCTGATCTTGGATTCTACCCAGCTGGCGGAGGAACCCCTGCCATGCGGTGTGACCCCAGACTGACCTCCCTAACCTGCTGGGGTCTTAATTTGCTGATCCTCAAGCCTGTTGTGAGGGAGAAACTCTTAAAATCAGATCCTACACACCGTACTTGACCTACACAAGTGGCTTCCCCATTCGGACAAAAATCAGTTATTAACAAGTGAACAACACATCACTCACAGACTTATTCGATTAAAACTTGGTGTTTAACTCAGGCACGAAATCTCAGAGGAGGTTCAGGATGGGCCTCTGGGCTCCCTTAATTGTCATTCTGGGGAGGGCAGTAGGGTGACCTAGGGGACACCACCAGAATCCACCAGGAGGCCCCGGCCACACCCCTCCAGGAGAATTCAGTTATAGAAAATGCATTCAGGACCTGCCTGGTTCAGTAACCAGTGGTCTCCTAGGCTGTCGCCCTGGGAGGGGTGGTGGTGGAAAGGCTCTTTGGAGGTGCATGTAGCCGGGACAGATGATGGGGGCATCTGCACTTGTTGTACCCAAGCTACGCTAGTGTACCCATCACATGTCCCAGCACACACCAGAATTTACAGTTTACACAGCCTTGCAGTGCCAAGGTGGGAGACTGACAGCAGCCTGGGTCTTAGGCTCACCAGGGATGCTGGCAGCCAGCCATAGAGTCTGCGTCCCCCAAAAGTGCCCATTTGTCATGTCTTTGGATTTTCCTTTCCTAGTAGGTCCCTGTCCCTGTTGCTGAGTCATGTATCTAATTTCCCCAAGGCCCTTGTGGGAGAGCCTTCTGCAAGAATGACAGCTTTGGGTGGGTGGGGGGGCTCCCCTTGGGAATCCCAGTTCATAGCACCAGTCATTCCAGGAAACAGGAACATGACCATGGAGGGATGGATTCTGGTGGGAGTCCAGGTCTCATTTAACATCTGGTTGGAGTGACCCTTCTGCAGAGCTCTTTGGGTATTAAGCAAGAGCCAGTCACAGAGACACTGGGATCCCCACTCAGGGCCCCTGGGAGAGCACCACTGAATAGGTTCTGGGGCCCTTGAGTTGCCAGTCTCAGGACCCCTGCCTCAGGGAGACCCACTGGAGTAACTTGGCCTCAGCTCCCTCCAACATCCCTCCAGCCCAAGCCCTCTGCTCCAGCCCCTTGGCCCAGTCTGAGGGCTCCTCAGCAGAGAGAGAACCTCCGAGAGTTGATGTTCATCTTGGTCACTCCAATGAGCTTGAGTGGCGTGGACAGGCTGAAGGAGGAGGCAAGAGGGGAGTCACAGAAGAGGTCGGCCAGCTCATCCCGCTCCTCCAGCTCATAGGTGGCATCGTTGAGCATCCTCCTGTGGAGGCGGCAGGTGTGCTCGATCTTCAGCTTGTTGATGTCCCCGCGCAGGCGCATGAGCTGTCTGGCCAGCTGCTGGTCCTGCAGCCGCATCTCCGTCTGGAAGGGAGGGGGAGCAGGCAGGGTCAGCAGAGAGTGGCTCCAGAGTCCCTGACTAATGTCTTAGATCATCAGTTGGTCCATCCAGAAAGATTAGTATGTTCCCTGCTCAGGGAGGCGAAAAGACACAGCAAGGTGACAAATGAGGGTGTGCTTGCAAAACTGTACTTTGTGCTAGGCTACTGTATCTGAATCCTTCTGAAAGACATGCACATTGGTCCTGGCTTGAAGACACTTCCAGTTCCTTCTCTTGTCTAGAGTTGCATTCAGAGGGAGTAAGAGTATAGAGAAAAGCCTGGGGTCACAGCTATCAAATTCAGCGGGATGGTTGCCTCTGGGTGGGAAGGAGGGGCTGGGACTGGGAAATGTATGTGGCGGCTTTACTGTGATGGCCATGCTTTCTTTCTTAGGCTGCGGAGTGTCATGTTGTTTCATTATTTTTTAAATGTTTTAGAATGCCTGAAATATTTCTTAGTAAAGTTTCAGAAGAGCCAAGAAAAATTGGTTCCTAGGTACTGGATGTTTTATTATGAAAGCCTTTGGGTCTATTAACATGCAATGGTTAACTGTCACTACAAACTGTGAAGTGACATCACCACCATCACCCACAGCTTATAGAGGAGGACTCAGGGAATTAGCTGTGTCGGCTCACAGAACTCATCCACGGCTGAGCGGGGGTGAGGAACCTGGACAACTGGACCCCAGAACCCAAATGACTGACAATTAAGTTCTTCTGCTCAAGGACGAGCTTCAGTGTGGTGCATGGCGCGGCTGAGTGCTTAGTGACCTTGCGGAAGGTTTCTATTATTTTTAGTGGCTTGGTGTTTCCTTTTGACACATAAACAAAAAATAAAATTCTAAGCCCCCCAACTGACTGAACAAACCCCTCTTCATCAAGAGGACCCCAGAGAAAGCTAAAAACTGAATTTCCAGCCATGATGGGATGGGAGTTCAGACATGCTTTGTTATACTCCCTCACGTTTGGAATCTAGGCACAGCAGATCGGCATTAATGCTGAGATATTTGACTGATAAAACAGACTCTTTGTGGCAATAAGGTACCAAATTCCTACCTGTCTCTGGTATTGTATCACATAACAGAGAGCAAACCCTGAAGAATATAAAAATATTTTCCCCAAAACATTTATTTGACATATTTTGAAATGGCCCTGCAAAGCCATCTCTTGTGGGAGAAATTTACATCTGGAGAGCATTTCTATTAACACAATCAAGCCTTTCCTTTCTAGACCTTTCCAAGATCTAGGAGAGATTCAGTGTGAGTCTGGCAGTTTTAAGGTCTGAAAAGAGACATTTTACCATCTATTTTCTCTAAAGACGTCTGCCAGGAGGCTTCATCTATATAACAAGAACCTTGGCCCCCGCAATCCCCCTTGTCCTAAGCATTTCTTTCTACTGACTTCAAGTCTTTAGACAAAGCTTCTTTCAACCAACTACCAGTAAATATATCTTTGAATCTACCTATGACCTGTAAGCACCCACCCCAAAACCCCTTCAAGATATCCCACCTGTTCAGGCTGACCTGATGTATACCTTCTGTGTATTGCTTTGTGTCTTTGCTTGTAACTCATGTCCCCTAAAATGTGTAAAAGCAAACTACCTGGACCACCTAGGGCAAGCTTCCTCAGGCCCTCGTGAGACTGTTCCCTGGGCCACGGTCACTTACACTGGCTCAGAATAAACCTCTTAAGGTATTTTGCAGAGTTTGGTTTTTCTGTTAACAAAATGTGATGATAGTTTCTCACCTGGCTTCTCACTCCCAGTTTCCCTAACCCACTGTGAACCAAAAGTATCTGAGACAGGTGTCAGTCAATTTAGAAAGTTTATTTTGCCAAGGTTAAGAATGCACGCCTGGGAAGCAGGTCTATGCCTTTCCTCAAAGATGGTTTTGAAGGCCTTAATATTTAAAGGGGAAGGAGTGTATATTGGGGGAAGAGGAAGACATTTTTCAAAGGTGTAGGTAGATAAGAGACAAACGATTGCATCCTTTTGGGTCTTTGATCAGCCTTTCACCAAACACACAATTCACATGTGTGTTTAGGGCAGAGAAAAGCCACTTAGCCTTGGTCTGGCTCACCGAATCGGCATTTTTATATAAGAACGTAAACACAGGGCACATGAAGCAATCAGATACACATTTGTCTCAGGTGAGCAGAGGGATGACTGAGTTCTGTCCTTTGTCCAGTTCCTGAGAAGACAGGCTATCAATTTACATTGCCAGGGTGAAATTCAACAGAACTGTTTTAGGGTACAGATCTGGCCACCCAACAGGGAAGTTCCATGTGGGCCCACTGTGAGAGGTGTGTAGGCTTTATCTTTGCAGCTACCTTATTTAGAAATAAAATGAGAGGCAGCTTGGCCTGATGCACTTCCCAGCTTGACTTTCCCCTCTGGCTTAGTGATTTTGGAGTCCTGAGATGTCTTTTCCTCTCCCGCCAGCCACGTGTTTAACCTTGAGGGCCTCAGAGCCACTCCTGAGGTACCAGCAGGACAGTCTGGGTGTAGCTGGAGCTCAGATGGCTGGTTTCTCAGTTGTGACATGGCACAAAGGGACTGGCTGAGGGCAGAGTGCCTTCTGTAAGCAATGCTTTGTCACCGAGACAGGTCGCCAGCTGCTCCTACTTGACTGGAGATTTGAATCCTTCTCACGGTTTCCTCTGTCTCCACTTGCAAGTGGTTATTGTTTTAGTCTTTTTGAGATGCTCGGCTATGCCATTTACCTAATGCCCAGAGCCAAACTGATTTAGAAAAACGAGCCCTGAGGTGCTCTGTAGTTATGCAAACGAAGGCAATGTTCTCACTTTCCCCCATTAGGTTTAGAATAGCGCACGTTGCAGGGTAGAAAAGTTAAGTGACCTTGCCAGCGAGCATCTCAGCGTTTTTTCTCTCTCTTATTTTTCATGCACCTCTACAGATCTCTTTTCTCCTGATTTCATACGTGAGGAGAGTCAAGAGAGAAAGTCTTGCTTCTAAGTCAGCAAGGTGTCTAACGGCAGAATTGAGGTTAAAGTTCCCAGCCACAGGAGTGGACCCTCAGTCCTCGAGGATTGAATAAACTCAAATTTATTGCCAATTAAATTCTATTGATCTAGAATAGCACCAGTGATGATAGGGTGGCTGGTGATTTTTTATTTTTATGGTGTCCCTAACTGAGCCTGGAACTGAGTTGGTGCTGCCTAAACCCTTCTGAAGAAGATGGGGGTCAAACCTGCCTGAAAGACATTGTCTGCTAACACCCTCTGCCGTAACACGGTCACCTGCCCCTTCTCTTTGGAGTGTTCTGTAATTTGACAATAGATCTTTTTGAAAAAATAGGAACCCCGTGGTTTAGGTTTGAGCTTTGGCCCCAGGAATTGCATCTTTGGTCTGAAAAGATCCTTTCAAGTTGGACCATTTGGGGTGTGGCCAGGTGTCTAAGACTGTGTGGTGGACACATCTCCGTGGGGCAGCAGGAAGGAAGGGGCTATTTTTCTGTGGCTGACAGATCTGGTCAAAGATCAGAGAACAAGTTAGATTTTTAGACCCATCAGAGGCAGCTAGAAAAAGGGCTGACAGCAAGGCCTGTATCAGTTTCCACGTTCTGGGCAAAGGCTGCCTGGGTGGAGTTGCCTTGCACGGCCATTCTGTGCAGACGCATTCAATTCTGTGTAAGGGTGAAAAAGCTGCAGCCTCAATAGGGATGGCGATTCCAGCTGCTCTCCCTGCTTGGAGTCTGAGAGAACAGGAGGAGGGGCTGGGAATCGCTGCTTCCCCAGTGGGCTTGGTTCTGAGGGCATCTCACAGCACGGGCATCTCGCTAGGACACATTGTGGGTTCTAACATTTAAATGCTCATGATACCTGCCCTGCTGGGACTCCTGCACTCAAATCAACAAATTCATCTCCTGCTCCAAAGAACAGGGTTTGTCCCCGTGCTGCGGGAGCCCTGGCTGCACTGGGCCTGTGCTCAGCTCCTCTCTGGGCCACACAGCAATTTTGCAAGGGTGACTTTGCAACTTAAACACTAACTCGAGCCCTGATTAAGAGGTCACTCTGCTGTAATTAAGCCAAATCCACATGAGTTCTCACAGCCTCTGAAGAAATCTGAGAGAGGCTTAATTTTTTTCCGGAATTTTTTTCTAGTTGTGGTAACACCCATACAACATAGAAGTTATCACCCTGACATTTTCAGCGTGCGGCTCAGTGGCGACTCAGTACATTCACGTTACTGAGCTACCATCCATCTCCAGGACGCTCTTCATTTTTCCAAACAGAAACTGCACCATCAAACACTAACTCCCCATCCCCTCCCCAAACCCGGCACCCACCCTTCTACCTTCTGTCTCTGTAAATCTGACTACTCTAAGAACCTCATAGAAGTAAATCACACAGAATCTGTGCTTTTATGACTGGCTTATTTCACTTAGCATAATGTCCTCTGGTTTCTGATGGCTAAAAGGCTTTTTACAAATTCATCCTTTCAGAGATTTGCAATGAACATATGTCTTTGCTGGTCCTGTGTGGAGTAAGTCAGGAGGATTGCCAGGGAAGGCACGGAGGGCCGTGCAGGTGCAGGAGAGTGGGTCTGAGCTGGGGCTGGAGTCCCTCTTCCTGTTTTCCCTTATGCTCTGCCAAGGGGCCCCTTGGAGGCAGGGATGACAACGCAGCCCCAGCTGTGGCAGCAGGGAGGACAGTCACAGCCCCGGCTGCGGCTGCACACATTTGACAGATTGTGTCATTGCATTTTCCCACAACTCTAGATGGCAGGCTTGATTTTAGTTTGTTTTACAGACAAGGAAATGGTCTCAGAGAAGGGAAGGAAAGCCAGCCAGCCTTTTAACGGTGGCATCTGGACCACACTGGGGCCCGTCAGCACGCAGAGCTGGAGGACTCTCCCAGGCTCCTGTCTGCTCAGAGGTGAGCTAGGCCCAGGGGTGGCAGAAAGGGAAAATCCACAGTCCTGGCTTAGAACCCAGGTTCGAGGTGAGCTCCACTCCTTACTCGC